CCCCTGTATTTAGGACAGAGTCTACAGGGTCTCACTATATAGATTGGTCTCGTAGTGATTCTCCTGTTTTCAGCCTCCCAAGTGCTGGGATTACAGGCATTCACTACCACGCCCAGTCTCCATCACTGTCTCAATGTGCATGGCATGCTGGGGATCGAACCCTGGCCCTGGCCACTCCGCTCTGCCTAAGCAGGAGCTTTAGTCTGCTGAGCTGTTAGGCCAGCCCAATAAGTATATATTTAAGTTGGTTAATTTGTGGTACTGAGGATTGAACTCAGGGCTTTCACAAAGAGTCATCCCCAGTCAATTTTTTTTATTATTAAAAAAAAAAAAAAACCTGAGCTGTGGTCCTGATAAGTTGCCCCAGTCTGTGCTTGAACTTTTAATTTTCCATCCTTAGCCTTCCAGAGTGCTGCGATTATAGGTTGGCATCACCAGCTCCAGTTAACATCTAAAAAAATTATCAGTGTTCTATGGTGCTTCTGCCTGCCTGCCTCCCTCCCTTCCTTCCAGAGTAGAAAATTTATTGAAGAAAAGGAATGGGCAATAGGAATAGCTCCTAAGAGACAGGAGTCCTCAATGGGTTGCCCCACTTTATATTTCTATAATCAAATATGAAAGCTCCTGGTGATTCATATTTTTGTCATCACTTGGCAGTATCATCTTTAATTTTAATCACTTTTACAGAGGTGTAGTAGTTTCTTTTTCTTTTTTCTCTCTTTTTTTTTTTTGTCTTTTTGAGACAGGATCTTATGTTCAGGCTGGCCTCACGCTCACTTTGTAGCACAGGCTGATCTTGAATTCAGTTACAATCTGTGTGACTCAGCCTCCTTATTGCTGGGATTACAGGCAAGTGCCACCACAGCTAGCAAGAGTACTGTAGTAGTTTCTTGCGTAATTTAATTTACTTTTATTTTTAAAAAAATATTTTATTTTTTGGTGCAGGGTCTCACTCTGCAGAATAGACTTTTAGTGATCCTCCTGTCATCTCAGCTTCCCCAGTGCTGGGATTACAGGTATGCCTGGGTCCTTGTGCTTGCCCAACAGGCACCTAGACTGCCAAGCTATCTTCCTAGCCCTCTTGTATGGGTTAAATTCATGTTTTCCTGATACTTGGTGATGCTGAACATTTTTTTAAAAACATTTTTTCATGTGTTTTTAATTTTTGGGACAGTTTCTCCTTCTCTAGTTCTGGCTGGCCTGAACTCACTATGTAGCCTCGGCTGGCCTTGGTGATTAGCTTGCCTCAGTTTACTGAGTGCAGGGATGATAGGCATGCCACCCTGGTTTTTTCATGTATTTATTGACTATATCTCTTGGAGCAGCTTTCTATTTCCTCATTTGGCACTCAATTCTATTCCTATCCTGGAACCAATGTAATTATGCTCTATTTGTAGATTTCTAGGTCATAGTTGTATAGATTTAAACTCCAAATGCACTGTTTTACGTACCTGTGGTTTTGAATTTCTAGCAGATATTTTTTCCCCTACTTCATGAGGTGAGCAGGGCAGTCTTCCTTATTTCCCTATGGATAGTTTGTTGTCACTTTGTTTTTTAGTCTTGTCTTTTTACTAGGGAATCTCCCTGGGGTCTTATCCTCTACACAGGGATCTCAGTTACCTTTGTTGGCTCAAGGTCTGTATCCCTAGAGTTGGGTGTGATGCTGCATGTGTGTAATCCCAGGGCTGAAGGAGGAGATTGCAAGTTTGAGCTCAGACTGGACAGTTTAGAGATTTACTGAGACTATCTCCAAAAAAAAGGCTGGAGATGCAGTTCCATGGGAAGGCTCTGGATTCATTTCCCAGTATTGCAGGGGATGGGTGAAAATCTGTATCCTGGATTTATAAGGATGTTATTTCTCACACCACAAGGACATCTGTGTGGTCAGCTCACAAATCCACTTTAAAAAATTAAAAAAAAATTTTTTTTAAATTTTAGAGAAGGGTCTATAGGGTGTTCAGGGTCCCATTACTAGATCAGACTGTAGTGATCCGCCTGTTTACAGCCTCCCAAAAGCTGGTATTACAGGCGTGCACACCACATCCAGTCTCAATTGCCTTCTCAGCATGCCCCTGGGGGTGGGGCCAGCACAGCAGGCCCGGGGTACTAATCTACTTTTTGTTTTTGCCTTTTTGAGACAGAGTCTTGTTGTGTAGTTCAGACTGGTCTTGAGTTCACTATGCATCCCACTGGCCTCAAACTGATGGGATCTTCCTGCCTCAGCTTTCCATATGCTTGGATTACAGGTGTTTGCCACTACTGCTAAACATTTCCCTAACTTTATAGTGAATTCAGTTTATCTGTGTGTCAATTTTTTTTTTTTTTTTTTTTTTTTTGCGGAACTGGGGATTGAACTCAGGCCCTTGCGCTTGCCAGGGAAGCGCTTATTCTGCCGAGTCATCTCCCCAGCCCCATGTTGTTATTTTTTTAATGATACTGGAAATTGAACCCAGGGCTGCTACACTGAGCCCTTTATATTTTTATTTTGGGATGAAGTCTCAGTTGTCCAGGCAGGCCTCAAGTGTCTCTTTTTGGCTGATTTGTTTTTTATTTTTATTTTTTTGTGGAGCCAAGGATTGAACTAAAGCACTTGCCAGGGAATCGCTTGCCAGGGAATCTCTCATTCCACTGAGTCATCTCCCCGGCCCCTCAAGCATCTTTTTTTGAGACAGGGTCTCACTATGTAGTTGAGGCTGGTCTCAAAGTCATGGCAGTCCTCCTTTAGCCTCCTAGTGCTGGAGGTACAGGTGTGCTCCCCTACACTGGGCTAGGCTTTGAACTTTTAATCCTCTTTCCTTAACCTCTTGAGTAGCCAGGTTAACAGAAGCATACCACTGCCTCCAGCTAGAAGTCCTTATTTTAATAGTGTGAACTCAAAAGACCGATTTTTTAATTTTTTATTTATTTTTTTTTTTGGCAGCCTCAAGATGCCTTCAGGGCAGGTCTGGATGGCACGAGTTTTGGGGATCGAACCACAGCATCATGGCCTGACTGTTGTGTTTAAGCAGGCACTTAAACCACTGAGCTAATGGGCAGGGCCCCAACTCAGTAAAAAAAATTGCTTTGTATCTTTGTTGAGGACCAAAGAAACAAAAAGGGAACCTTTTATAGTAACTTTGATAAAATAACTGCGTTAAGCAGCTTTCTTATTATCCAGGACTGAAAAACAAAAGGGAGGAAGTTTGGGGCTATCAGAACCTAGAAGTCTGGAGGGATCTGGAGGAGCTGCCCCTGCATTCTCTAGGGAAAAGGTGTTACCTGGTGCTGCTGGTTGCAGTGGGAGTGCACAGGAAGGCCCTGGGGAGCCCCTGCCCGTCTGACACAGGTACCTCTGAGGTCTTCAGCCAGGCTGGTTCTGGGAGTATAGAAAGAAATCGGGCAGAACCAGCTCCTGTCCTTAAGAAGCAGTGTGCTGTAAGGGAAAAGATTGTGGCAGCCTCCTCTTGCCTGCCATTTTTCCCTTAGGGATTGAACCCTGGTCCCTGCACTTGCTAAAGCAGGTGCTTAGTCAGCTGAGCTATCTCGCTGGCCCTCACTCTTTTTTTTTTTGGCAGAACCAGGGACTGAACTCAGGCCTTTGCGCTTGCTAGGCAAGCGTTCATTCTACTGAGCCATCTCCCCGCCCCAACTGTTTTGTTTTTGAGATAGAGTTTCAATATGAAATTACGAGCTGGCTTTGAACTCAGTTGTGTAGCCCAGACTGATTTTGAACTTAGTCCTCCTGCTGTACTGTCCTGAGAGCTGGTATTTCAGGTGTGTGCCATTATACTCGGTTTAAATCTCACCTTCTTAACTTCTGTAATATACTAGAAGTTTTTCCCTATGTTAAGCCACAGTCTATTTTCCTATAACTTCACTCAGCCGTGGCTTTATCTTTCAGTGTGCATGTTCTTCTTTTTTACCTGCATGACAAGTATACATATACTTGAAAATAAATTTTTTTATGTTCTGTCCTAGATAAATATCTGTAGTTTCTCCCCCACATTTGACACAGTATACTTGATTGTGATTCCAGGGGAAGAGTTGGTTTGTGGTTTTTTGTTTTTTTTTGCGGTACCAGGGATTGAACTCAGGACCTTGCACTTGCCAGGCAAGTGCTTATTCTACTGAGCCATCTCCCTGGCCCCTCCAGGGGAAGAGTTTTAACTCTTCCTTCTAGTCATTTGGGGGAAAAGCTATGTGGAAAGGACAGTATCTTGTCTGTTACTGAGGGGAGGAAAGAACCAAAGTGAAGGATTGGTGATGGAGTCAGTAGTTGCCCCAGTAGAGATAAAATGAAGTGGTAGCTGGAGAAAGGAGACAGGTATTTTTACCCAGCATGCCCCTGGGTTGAGGCCCTCATTAGCAGCTGTGTCACCTGCCTTTTCTTTCTTATTTAGAGGCCAATGTCTTTGAAGCCTGTGTCGGAAATGCCAGTGATTCAGCAGCCTGGTAGATTTCTTCTGCCTTATTGCAGTTAAGGACTGGTTTATCTGGTAAGAAATAAAGACTTCATACTTAATTGACCACTTGAGTGCTTTCTTCTGACTTGACAGAGACACATGTTTCACAGGCTGTCAAGTTTTGGGTGCCCTGTGGCAAGGGGGCTGCAGTGTGGCCTCATTATTTGGTCTTCTGTGTGGGCAGCAGCTGCTTTCTGCCCTGTCAAGTGGGCATTTATTTATTTATTTATTTATTTTAAAGTTTATTTATTTATTGTGTGTGTGTGTGCGTGGCCAGCTCAGCCCACCAGGGGGCGGGGCTGGCTGGCATGTGGTGCTGGGGGATTGAACCGCGGTCCCTGAGCCCTAGCCAAACTTGTTCCAAGTAGGTGCTTTAGACCACTGAGCCATCTCACCAGCCCCAAGTGGGCATTTATTGATCCTATTTCTCTGATGGGCTTAGAAGTGGCAGAAAGGGGCTGTGGAGATGGCTCAGTAGAATAAGCGCTTCCCTGGCAAGCGCAAGGGCCTGAGTTCAATCCCCGGTTCCGCAAAAAAAAAAAAAAGAAAGAAAGAAAGAAAGAAAGAAAGAAATGTTACTGTGATGCTCAGAATGAAATATGACATGAATATTTGAATGGCTTTAGTATTCCCTGGTTCTGCCATATGCCTCGCTGGAACATTTGTGTATAACCTGCAGAGGTGACATCTCTTGAATTTGCTACCCCTGGAAAGCTGAAGGCATGGGATAAGACAGAGCTTGATTTACACAGAGAAAAGAGTGAAGACTGGATTGATTAGTTCCCAGTCTACTTTATGTAGTTGTGAGAATAAAGGTGAATAACTGAGGGGAGTGAAAGACTTAGAATGTTAACCAAAGACTTCAGATCTGCTACTTCAGGGAGAAGAAAACTGCAAGGTTTTTGAGCAGGGAGACACACTTGAAACTGAGAGGGATGTGCAGCTTCTGAGGAAAGACCTTTCCTGGTTTAGAGACTTCAATCCTGATAGGGCAGGGCCTCCTCTATGCTGACCAAGTGGGGTGTGGTTTGGCATTCTTACCACAGAAGGCCAGAGTTTCTGCCCCAGTGACTCTTCCTGCTGTCACTGACTCATCCCCCTGACCTGGCTTGTGTGGTGTCCCTTCTGGTTGCTGTGTGATTCAAAGGATACTGGGGCTGCCCGGGATGATGTGCAGCTGAGCTGACCAACAGTCAGTGGGGTGAGAGAATGAACAAACATTCCTGTCCCTTTGTTCCTCCCTCCCTGGGTGGAAGCTAATTTGAATCCAGCCTGTCATTGTATCCTAGCCTGCTGATGCTTCTACAAGGAGGTAAGGCAAGATGGTTCCTGCGCTCTCACTGCTTTTTTGTAGGTCAGCTTTTTCTTGAGCAGGATTTTTACTACCTTTTTTCCTGATGTAGATTCTACATGGTACCCTTGTACCTTTCTTTAGTCACTTGAAGTAAACAGGTTGTTATTATTATTTTTTTCTTTCTTTCTTTCTTATTTTTTAGTGACATGTCTACGGGATATTCAGGGTCTCACTACTAGATCAGACTCATAGTGATCCACCTGTTTACAGCCTCCCAAGAGCTCGAATTACAGGCATGCGCCACCATGCCCAGTCTTAAATAGGTTATTGTAGGAGGTGGGCTGAGAGGTTTCTAATTGTGGGGGAAGTGTCCAGAAGTTTTCACAGGCTTCATTTCTGGAGGAGGTTGACCAGAATGCTTGTGATCAGGCTCACTAATATGAGGTCACAACAGAGAAATGGGGCCTTAGCCCATTTCTCAGCTACCGGGTTTCAGAACCATTCTTTGTGTGCTTTTGTATCCCCAAGTTATCTCCCTCCTCCTTGATCAGGGGAATGAAAGATAGAAGTAAGAAGCTGGAAGAGGTCACTAGATGGAAGTATGCTGAGAGTTGGGGTATCTGGGTTTGTAATCTTGACTCTTGCTAACTAGCAGTATGACAGGAGACAGATTGCCTAACCTCAAAGCAATGGAGTTTTCTTATATGTAAAAATAGACATTTTGGGTTAAATGATGACTTTTCTAGGCCCAAAATTTATTATTATTATAATGTAATGTTTGTATATGTATTGCAGTACTTGGGAATCAAACCCAGGTTCGTGTATATGCTAGGTAAGCACTCTATTACTGAACTAAACTCTTAGGCCTTGAGCTCACTTTGTACCCCAGGCTGGTCTTGAATTTTCAGCGATCCTCCTGCCACAGCCTCCTGAGTGCTGGAATTACAAACTTGCGCCACCATGCCAGGTGCTAATCTCTGAGACCTTTATGTTTATTTTGAGACAGGATTTTAGTTGCTCAAGTTGACCTTGAATTTGCTATCCTTAGTCTTCTGAGTATCTGGGAGTACAGTTGTGGGATTACATTGTATCTGCTTATAATAGTTCATTTTTAATACATGTTTTAGAATATAATATATATGTATTATCCTCTCCATTGTAATGGTGGGACAGTTACAATGTCTATAAGTTTCTTCCTTCCAGGAAGTGTGTTCTCTTTACATTTATTCTTGTATGATCACAATTACCTTATGAGCTAGTCTTCTTTTTGAACCTTTTTTTCCCCTAGTACTGGGGATTTAACTCAGGACCTTGTGCTTGCCAGGCAGGCGCTTATGCTGCTGAGCTATATCCCCAGCCCAGTCTTCTTTTTTGGAGGGTGGAATGCTGGAAATTGAACCCAGAGCTTCATTGGTAAGCATGAGCTGTACCATTGAGCTACCCCTGATCCCAGTCCTAAGCCAAACTTTGAGTAGGAAGTCTGCTTTTGTTTGGTAGATTCAGTTTTTGGAAACAACTAGAAAATACTGAGAGAATCAGACAAGGCATTACCTTTTTGCTGATGAATGAAGTATCACTATAAAACAACAAGATCTAATTTTTCTGTGTCTCACATGGAATAATGCTTACAGTAGCTCCCAAAGAAGTATTTTATTTATTTTTATTTTTTAAATTTTCTTTATGTGTGTGTGTGTGTATGTGTGTGTGTGGCCAGCTCAGCCCACCAGGGGGCGGGGCTGGCTGGCATGTGGTGCTGGGGGATTGAACCGCTGTCCCTGTGCTTTAGCTAAGCTTGTTCTAAGTAGGTGCTTTAGACCACTGAGCCACCCCCCAAATAAGTATTTTATAAATATTTTGAGCAGGGCTGGGGAGATGGCTCAGTAGAATAAGCACTTTCCTGGCAAGCGCAAGGACCTGAGTTCAATCCCCAGTTCCGCAAAAAACAAACAAACAAACAAACAAACAAACAAAAAACCCAACCCAATAAAAAAACAATAAATATTTTGAGCAGTACTGAAATTGTTAAAGTAAGTAAGTAGCTCCCTAAAGAGGCAAATTTGATTACAGTTTTCATTTGGTTGAATCAGTCAGGAAATGTTTGCTAGAAAAGGAGTCACTTTTGTTTATACTCAACTGTGTATTGCTTGCTTTTAGATCAAGGTGACTAGTGGAGAAAATTAACCTTTCTCTCGGTATAGTAGTCCTCATTTGTTGGGGCCTGGAAAGAGAACATGTTGCTGTAGAAAATGGTAGTGGAGGTGCCATTGTATTTCTTTGTCCAGAAGACCCACAAGACTAAGGAGTTTTCCAGCTGGCAGCTGATACTTGCCAGCATGCTGGCATGTCAGGAAGATCCCCAGGTGGTGTGTCTGAAGGAGGTGGTTTGGTAGCTCCAGTCTTTGGCAGGAGAAATGATGTTTTAAATCATTTTATTGACAAATTCCCATCCCATACCAGGGCTTGAACCTAGGATCTTTACACTGAGCTATATATCCCTGGTCTTTAAAAAGAAAAAAAATTTTTTTTAAATGTAATTTTGAGACTGGCCATTGCTATGACCGTTGACCGCCGAGCAGCCTGGCCCAATGTGAGTGGGAGCAGTCGCTGCCTGCAGCACCAGGGCTCCGGAACAGGGAAGGTCCCACTTTCCTCAACAGAGGCTCACACCTCTTGAGGCCACGCTGCCAGGGAGGCTTGCTTGCCCCTTGGCTGAGGGGTGACCTGGGTGCCATGGTCATAGGACTCAACGTCTTAAGTGTAAGGTATTGCAGACTCATATCCTTCTATTCTGCATTTTTTTCTTTTTCTTTTATTTTTTTTCCAAAATTTTATTGATAAATAGCAATGAGACAGTTTCAAATCAAATCGGAAGTACAATTTCAACAAATAACACACTGCATATATTCTTCTTAGTGGTTAATTGCTGTACCTATTCTGCATTTTTACAACAACTTTCCTATGTTTAGATATGCGGGTATTTACTATTTCTGTATTTTCTATATTTAGATATGTGAATATTTACAGTTGACTGCACATTGTTATCAAATTGCCTACCACAGTAAGCACAGTAACATGCTATATGGAAAATAATAATTAATAATAATAATAATAATAATAATAATAATGAGACCAGGTCTTGCTAAATTACAAAGTTTCACAGGCTGTGTTTGCATTTATTTATTGTGTGTGTGTGGCCAGCTCAGCCCACCAGGGGGCAGGGCTGGCTGGCATGTGGTACTGGGGGATTGAACCGTGGTCCGTATGCTTTGCCAAGCTTGTTCCAAGTAGGTGCTTTAGACCACTGAGCCATCTCTCCAGCCCACACAGGCTGTGTTTGAATTTACCATCTTTCTACTCTCATCTCTTAGAGTACTGGAGTTGCTGGTGCGTACCTTGACAATTGGCTTGAATTTTTTTTTTTTTTTTGTCAGCAGTGGTAGGTTTGAGAAAGAGTGGGTGCAGGCTGGTGAATGAGTGGTTAGAACAGAGGGGCTGTTAGTTGTGAATGCATTCAAATTAGAATCTCTTCCTGGAAATACTGTAGTAGTTTTGTTAGTTTTTGTCACGAAGTCAACATGTACATTTGCAATTCTCTTTCTTACTCTAGGCCTTTATTTATTTTTTTTAATCTTTCATTTATTTATTTGGTACAGGGTCTCGCTATGCAACCCAGACACATAGTGATCCTCCTGTCTCAGCCTCCCCACTGCTGGGATTACACACCTGTACCACCATGCCC